CGAAAGTGGGCCAGCATTTAAGCATCTCGCGGCTTCTTGATTCCGATCGAAAAGTCATTCTTATTTGGTGTTCTGAATTTTCTGCTGCAGATTGCCAACGGTGAACTATTCATTGATCTTTTTTTTTTTTTAAGGAATCGAACACGAGGCTTTTCGGAGAAGCTCATCGATCATCCAATTTCACGGACGGTCACAGTTCCGCCGAGCGTTCCGTTCTTCCCCTTTTCGACGATTTTTACCCCGCGTATTCCTTTTTTTCCGGCTCGCTATTACGCTGATCCCCGGGTTTCCGTGTCGCTGCAGTTCCTGCGGGACGTCCGACACGGCTGTCCAAACTGTTACTTTGATTTATCGATCTTAATTAGCTCCTACGGAAATCACCGGCGTGTTTTCCCCCGCCGAGCCTCAGGTGCGGTCCCCAGAAATCGCAGGAGCCGTTTCTAGGGACAAAAATATAATTGGCCTCGATCGCCTCGACTGCAACGCGATTTCGTCGCTGCAATCCGGGAGGGGATTTGTCCGCGTGATTGATCGGTCGAAGATCTTAGGACGAATATTCTCCCTCGTAATTCGTAGATTTCATAGGAGATCGCGGGAATTATGGTGTCTCGAACTCGAAGACAAGTTCGATTGGGCGTCCCACGAGGGAGTTCTGCGCGGGCCACTTCCGCGCGCGCGATAAAATCCCGAGGAATCGGACTGTGGCAAACTTCTCCGCTCGATCCTGTTCAAGTTTTTGCCCCCTTCTCGGCGTCCGTTTATGGTTTGACTGCCCTCGGATGGCACTTTAGGGAAATACAGGAGGAAATCCGCGCCGTTGCTCCACTCTATCGGGAACCGCTACAGCCTATTGTGTATTATTAGCCAATAAAACCCGGTTGCTGTTTGTTCGAGACACGCATCGCTGCCTCCTACGATTCCTCCTCGACTTTCGGCCCCCTCTTTCTTTCCCAATGCATCTTGTTAGCGAAACTGCCTCCATTTCCAGCTACACTTCGCCTACCGCAAGCCTATCGACAGGTTTCCCTGCATCGTAATCGTTTCTGATCAGGATGAAATAAATAATCGAGGAACGCAGTGTGAAATAAATGAACAGCTTCTACCACTGTTGCACTTTGTGTAAAAAAACGAGAGTTATTCTGTTATTATATTACATTATGATATTATATTATGGTATTATAAATACGTCTGAACAAAGTGACTCATTTAACTCTACCGCCTTAATTTCTCTTGTAAGCTATTTGTTGTATAAAAAAAGTTATTTGGTATAAAGAGGAGCATAGACGGCAACAAATTATTGTTCGCTATTTTAGTCTTTTATTGAAATATGAAGCTCACTGGGCAACATATGAAGCACGTACACATGTATCACTCGCATTGCTTGATCATTATTGCATGCTTGCATTGATTGTAATTGACAACATTTTGAACATTTCTTGCATTGAAAAGCAATTAAAAAATATCTCGATAAACATCAATTTTTGAACCCTTTATATTTTGTTAGTCTGCATTTAATAGATTTTCGAATGGTATCAAGATGATCCTCATATTTGAATGAAAAATAAAAATAAAAAAAATTGAATTGTTGCCGCGTATGATCCTCTTCATTCCAAACAACTTTTGTCCGAAACACTTTTCTATACAACATGTAGTTTACGAGGAAAATTAAGGTGAAGGAGTTAAATGGCTCATCCTATGTACAGGGTGTCTCAAAGTATGACCCCTAGAATATTTTCTTCAATTTTGAAAAAGTTCAAAATTTTTTATGTTCAACTTGGATGATATCAAGTGATCAGTATCCTATTTTTTCTTAAATATTATTTTTTTCTCGTAGTTTTCAAGATCATTGAGGTTTTTTTTTACAAAAATAACTATATAGATCTTCGCGTCGTATCGCGCAGTTCATAAAAGATACATTTAAACATGTGATGTGACATGATCTTTAAATGATCTTGAACACCGAAGACAAAGGTCAAACATAAATTTTGTTTGTCAAGAACAAAGTCATTACACAAATTCCATGATCAATTTATCTCGGTATTTTTTGTGCTACAAAAGACATTTCAACAGATTTACAATTGCTAGCATTTTTCGTACGGTCTGAATTCTCTTTACAAACGAAATTTAAGTTTGACCTTCATCTTCGAAGTCCAAGGTTATTTGAAGATCACGGCACAGCACACACTGAAATGTATTCTTTTGCAAGCTGCACGATGTAACATAACATACCAAAAACAACCCCTATAGGGTACTGATCACTTGATACCATTTAAATTTCACATAAAAAAAGTTATTGACTTTGTCAAAACTAAAATAGATATTCTGAGATACCTTGTATATTTTAAAAACTAGATGGTACGTAAGTTCGTTGTTTAATTGCTTTTTGAATTCGCGAACTTATTACTATTGTATGCGTTCGTAAAATCATTACAGTACGAAAGTTCGCAGCGATAGGGTTGAACGACTCTACCACAAAGAAATTCGCCATTCTAATTAGTACTTTTTAATTTGGCTTTTCATCAGGATGGAATAAATAACGCCGGTGGTGTTGCAGTCGTTAAACATGCTTGCACTTTCGGGCGGGAGAATGCAAAACATATGTAGTAAATTCTTTCTAATTAACTTTTAGATCAGGGGTGTCAAACTCGCGGCCCGAGATGAACATTTTTGATGTCAAGTATCAGGACGTAAACAATAATTTAACTTTATATATGTTTATTACAATGTACTAGTCAAAATAAAAGCATTTGTTTCTATGAACATTGATTTCTTTTGCGGCCCACCTAAAGTTAAGCATTGTTTATTTGGCCCAAGTTAGCTTCTGAGTTTGACACCCCTGCTTTAGATTGTGCACAAAAATGGACAATTTGGGAAGAGGAGACACGATTATTCGAGCCTTGCGGTTCGTTTTTATAGTTATTGACAATCGGTAATTATAAAAACGAACCGCAAGGCTCGAATAATCGTATCTCCTTTTCCCGAATTGTTCATTTTGTTCATTGAGCGTCAATTAGGTAGAATTTACCGTATTCCGAATGGTAATAGCCCTCGACTACGAATCTCTGATCTTTTAAGCGGTCAGCAAGGTTTTCTATTCTAGTATTTTATAGCTAATTAGTGTCGTTGAAATTCCCGACTCGTTCTAATACGTTTGCTCAAGAAAGCACGGTCGCCCGATCCGAAGGGGATGATTTACAGCGATAGGGTTAAAAGACTCGGAAAAGGGGTAGCCGCTGATTCTCAGTCGTCCCCACGCGTCCCTGATTAGCCCAGGTTTCCTCGCATTTCCGATTAAACTCGATAGCGAACGATCCTATCGTGTGCACCCTCCCGGCGACGATGTAATTGAAGGATCCAAGGGTGGACATTTGAATTCATTTCGAGTATCTACCGGTTCCTATCCCTTCGTGATTCCCGGAAACGTCCAGGCGTCCGAAATCCGATTGTTTTGCTTCTTGCTGGTCGCGGAGACTTGCACTTTGGCCCTGCAATCGCGCCAGAAGACAAACGAACGTCGTTAGAAAATTTCTTCGACTCGTTAGCAGTTTATCAGAGATCGAGGATTGCTTCGACCCCTGAAATCTATTTCTCAGCACGCAAATAGGATAATGGGATGAGCTAGTTATTGTATGGCGATCGTTTGCTGAGCCTGTAATTCGCTTTCGAGCACAAACATTTACATTTACAATTTACATTTATCGAATAATACATGTTAAATTGTTTTATTCAGAAATAAACAACATGAAAGAATTTACTAGTGAAACATTGTATTTATTGAATAAGACATATTATATTTTTTTATTAGAAAAGAAACGAAATGGAGGGATGTAATAATTAGCTTTTTATATTTATCAAATAAGATATATTACATTTCTTTATTAAAAATTTAACAAAATGAAAGAATTTACTATTTAACATTGTATTTATCGAATAAGACATATTATATTTTTTAATTAAAAAATAAACGAAATGAAAGGATGTAATAATTAGCTTTTTATATTTATCAAATAAGACATATCACATTTCTTTATTAAAAATTTAACAAAATGAAAGAATTTAATAATTAACTTTATATTTATCGAATAATACATCAAATTCTTTCAATTCGTTTATTTTTGGATACAAAAATTGAATGTCTTGCTTGATAAATATAAAGTTAATTATTAAATTTTTTCATTTTGTTTACTTATTAATAAAAAAAATTAAATGTCATTCGATACCCACAGTAACCGGCTTTACTATTCCAATAATTTTCTCTCGCATTAAAGAATGCGTTCGATCCTTCGAGGATCTCTTCGCCGAGGAATCGATGAGGGATCCCGCAGTAACCGCGCGAGCTATCGTTCTTTATTTAGGTGATCCCGATCGCTAGAGAGTGGCTCTTCTTGTCGCGAAACGGCGCGATACCCGCGTAATTAGGCTCCCCCGGCGCGGCTCGGTGGACATTCGAATTCATTCGGGGTCAGAACGTAGCTCTAGGGGGTTGGCCGACAGCCCCTTTACCGGGCAACTGTCTGAACATGACGTAACGCTCCTGAAAGCCGTTCAGCCCGGTTTTTGCGGTGTCCGGCCAGCAACAATGGCCGCTTCTTACGCCGCTCTGGTCACCGTATATTATTAATTACTGTATTAATCTCGCCGGCCGTAAGCAATCTATTATACATGGGATAAGAGCCCCGGCGGCTAGGCGTCGGCGTCGGCGTCGGCGTCGTCGGCGTCGTCGTCGTCGTCGTCAAAATGCCCGCCCACGCGGCTACCCTCCGCCCCGACACCCTTTCTCATTCGGTGACTTTGTAACTTCGCTGCTCGATGTAATCTGACCCCGAAGGGTGTTAACGAAGGGTGGCCGCGGGCAGGGTGTTAAAGGAATCTTGAAATTGCCCGGCCCCCGACGAGGCCTTCGATCGATTTCGGGGGTAGTTTTCGTGGAACCTGAAATCCAATTTTCTAGATCTACCTAATCGAGGACTGAACAAGCGTTTTCTTCCGTTTTTCTTTAGATCTCTGTCCGGCCTGCATGCTGGCCAGGGTCGAGCAGGAGCGTCTGGAGAGCCTGAAGTACGACAGAGCGACGATCTACGTGAAGTGCGTGGAGGACAACGAGGAGTCAAAGTCTGAAACCGACACGGAGGTGAGTAGGAAGAACGGAGAAACGACCGTGCAACATTGTAGCGGCGCGGGGACGGCGACAAGGGATTTTTGTTAATAGTGCCGAGTCACCGAGTCTCCTGGAACCGGTCCAGATTGATGCCGGTCGATAAGGAGATTGGCCTCATCTCGTCCATTTCGCGATAATAATCGTCATTACGTTTCCGTGGCGCGACCACAGGCCCACACCTGCCTCCTTCGGATCCTCCCTTTTTATCCTCGGGCTGGCCAAAGTGTTCGGGCTCGAGGGACCATGCGTAGATGAAGACTTTATAGCGGAATGTAATGGTCACTCTGGTTTGCTCAGGTGGCGGCAAAGAGACCGAAGATGGAGAACGCCAGGCCCTCGAGGACCCGGAGGAACCTGAAGGGCTCGCACGAGCTCAAGGTCTCCTCGGAGATCACCCTCAAGGAGCTGAAACTAATGGTGAGTACTCGCAACCATTTATGCGCGCGTTTGAACTTTCAAGTTGAAAACTCCGTAGTCTTCGGAAAGAATTTTTCACAGATACGAACAGCAATTTTGTTAATCGATATATAGACTGCGGGTCTTCATGCAAAATAAAAATTATCTTGATCAAATTGCAACGTACACGAAACGCATATTCTGTCTTTAATGATTTTAGTAAGCTGAAATAGTGATAATCGATTTTCTTAAATTCTTTTAATATTATCATTGTTTTGAGTGTCATTTAAAATCCATCTTTTTTATCAAAGCATAAAGTTCGCAGTCTATTAATTAACAATACGCTAAAATTAACGATACTTATGGACATTCTTAGTTTTATTCATCAGTTTTTCGGAAACGTAATTTTGAAGATGCTTCTTGTAGATTTATTAGATTTTTCGTTGTTTCTACTATAATAGTAATTTATTTTATGTAATTGCCAAAAGTTTTATAATTTGATGGTAAATTGCAGTACATGGTATATTTCAAAACAATGTGGAATACGTAATGCAACAAGGGATACCTTTTTTTTCTGTTTTGCACACACTTTCTATTTCTTAGTGTGGACTTTACTCAGCTTTCGTGGAGGAAAATTCCTTGAAAAGTGTCAGCATTGTTCTACTTGTAAACGATACGGTGTGTTACCAGCAGACATTCTTACATGGTTTTGATGATTAGAAGTAAATCTTTGTAAAATTAGAAGATCTTTGTAAAATTAGTGCCTCCATATCTGATCAAGATTTTGAAACGAGCAGGTATTTCTGATTGTTAAAAAACGTGGAAGTATGTACGTTGGATCCACGCAAAACTTCAACATCCGTTAAATATATTTTAATAACTTTTTACATAATTTCTCATCAGTAAAGTAAAAGATAAGTAATTATCTTGGAGATCTATCCCACCCAGAGTTGGGTAAAATGTAATCGAAGATGTTACTAATGATTATGACTTCAATGGTTTGTGTAATAATGATTAACAGTTAAAGAATATTAATTGTACGTAGAATACACGATGGCTAATGGCTGGTAATTATGCATTAATTTCATGATTGACTAACGATAACTCGGTCATTAGTCGTTTGTGAAAATCTAATTAAATTAGTCATTAATTAATGTGATAAGGAGCAATCATTAGTTATTAAACTATATTGCAAGAATTGACTAGAAATAAATATTAAGGATGTATAATCATTCTTTAAAATTACTAATACGTAGGGGGATTGTGTAAATAACAATACCTTCGTCTAAGCACAAAATAATTCTATCTATGTTAATGGAATTAACAGAAATTTACATTTTGTGTGAACACAAAGAACAAATGAATTTATTCATGCTTGAGTAAACAACAATTTTTAATACAATATAATTATAATGTTCCCTGGTCTAAGTGAACGTATTAAGTAAACAAATGAGAATTCGCCTTTATAAGTACTCTAATTTGAAAGTTTTTGTCCGATTTTTATTTATTCGATTGCGATAAGTCGTGCTAATATAAATTATTAATGACTAATGACTAACGATTATAAACGATCACGATTACTAATGGTAACTAAGAATTAATTCTGTTCTTAACTGTGACCAATGAAAGTATTTGTGCCTAACGTGACTAACGAAAGCATTTAGTTTCGACAAAACATTTGTATCTAATGATTAATTTATTCTGACTATATCGTCGAAAAATGCCCAACTCTAACCCCACCAACAGCCAACTCTGCTTCGAATAATTCTGAATAACTGCGCTACCGACGGCTAGACGGTCATCCGGAATGATCCAGAAACATTGCCGATCTCTTCGAGTATCCGTGTTTGGATTTTAGAGGAATAGCGTATTGAATTACGAGTGTGGTTAACCATTGTTCCGCGATCGAACGTAGTTGCTGACAATGACAGTGATCATTGGGTAATTGAAAGAGATTGCTGTAGCCGGAGAAAAGCATCGTTTTACGAGGGTTTCTGGGACGAAGACAGAGGTCCTCCTAAAGTCAGACACTCCCTGCAACACAGAAAGGGAGCAATAGGACGATGAAGAGAGGAAGAGAGAGAGAGAGAGGTTCGTCGGGTTTGTTCGGTGGACGAAAGTAGTAAAGCCGTAGTTATGGCTGGTTAGCATATGCCCGGGCCCCGGCAGTGTGCTTAAACTATTAAGCGTATTTATATTGCGAGGCTGCGCCCGTCTCCTTCTCCTTCTTCGGGGCCACCGGCAAAAACCCGAAAGAGCATAAACCTCGCGCTAATAACAGGCCTCTCCGACTTCTCCACTCCACTTCACTCCACTTCGTTCGACTCTCTGGGCCTTCCTTCCTCCCGTACCCGGTCCCTCTTCAACTCGGTCCCCTTCCTCTCTCTCTCTCTCTCTCTCTCTCTCTCTCTCTCTCTCTCTCTCTCTCTCT